TGAAGATGCCGCCAAATTCAGAGACCAAAAGCTACAATAAACACTCGCACTAATACCAAAATTAATTCTCTTTTCCCCATAATCGCTTCGTGATCGTCGTTATCTCTCTTTTTCCACAACAAGGCAAGTCGAAATTGTCCAAGTTCCAATACCTGTTCCGTGATCCATGCTGCCATAACAGCAGCAATCAGTCCATTTCCACACCTCTGTCTTTCTCTCTTCTTGCCTTGTCACCAATTGTTCGATTCTGGTAACCAGAATATTACCATTCAGCGAACCCTGTGGAGCACATGTGCGGTTGTAGCGGCTGAGATTGGCTTTTTTTTTTTTTTGCTGCAACTCTCGACCTCCGAGCTCCGCCGCCCTGCGCTACCGTGACCTGTCTCCCTTACTTTCCACGTAAGTTGTTGCGCCGCCTGCTCTGACTAGATTTATCTCGTCATGGTCTTCTTTGTCCCGATTCGGTTTTTTCTTTTCCTCTTTGTTTCCTAAAGTTTTGCCTTTTTTTTAATGATTTATAATGATCTAAATTGCATTCCTCTGTTGTGGCAATTGGCCATTGTAATTTAAAAAGACTGTGCGTAGATTGTAACTGGATCAGTGGTTGAATCTTATTAAAAAGTAAGATAATAACTTTTAATTCTTAACTTTTAATCATTGTCCTGTCAAAAAAAAAAAAAATAATGATCTAAATTTGCCATTGACTATGCTCTTAATTTTATCATAATGTCATACACCTGATACATAACGTAGTGTCAGAAATTGTGTAGTTAATTATTTACATCATTATCTTAGCCATTTTATCTAATTAAATTCTCAATCAAGGATTGAACTTGTTTAGCACCAACAACTGTGTTTAATCTAAGTTATTGAAATTGAAATTGATTTTTTCTAATGTTTTATTTTATTACACCTGGATTGATATTCATTGTTTTAAAGAGCGGCGCAGTTTTGTTCCCCTTGATTTCTTTAGCTTTATGGATTTCCAGTTATAGAGTCAAGGTACTTCTGCAATCCACTGGGAATAAATATCCCAGTTTATTTTTGGTTTATGAATTCAATTTTCATGTTCTTTCAGTTTTGTTTTGACTTTTGAGCGTATCATGTTGGAAATCTGTCTTGATTTTGGTACTGAAAAACATTTTCATATCTTTGCAGGGATTGATGGGAATCTAAGTATTAGAAAGGGTGGATCTTCAGGTGTTTTGGGTTTGAGCTGAAGTCTTGTGACCATGTCGTCTTCTTGGATCACATCTACTTCATGTTCGAGTTCTGTGATTTCAGATGAGACTTCTCTTCCTTCTATATTTCAATGGCTGAGATTCATTTTCCTCTCTCCATGTCCACAAAGAGCTCTGTTATCTTCAGTGGATCTGCTGTTTCTGCTCAGCCTCCTAGTCTTTGCATTGCAAAAGCTGTACTCGAGATTCAGAGGCAATGTCCATCCAGGTTCTGGCGTCGACAAGCCTCTGATTCGAAGGAACAGGACCTCTCCCAGAACTACCATATGGTTTAAACTCTCTTTGGTTGTGACTGTTCTTTTGGCATTCTGTTACATCATCGTCTGCATTCTGGCATTCTGTAGAACTGATCTGTTGCCATGGAAGCAAGTGGATGGACTGTTCTGGTTAGTTCAAGCCATAACTCATGCAGTGATTGCCATCCTAATCATCCATGAGAAGAGATTTGAAGCTGTCACTCATCCGCTCTCTCTTAGGGCTTACTGGGTTGTGAATTTTATCATCGTTTTGCTGTTCGCAGCTTCTGGAATAATTCGTCTGGCGTCTGTTGATGCAACCCAGGTTGAGAACTTGAGATTGGAAGATATAGTTTCGGTGGTTTCTTTTCCAGTGTCAGCCCTTCTTCTTTTTGTTGCTGTTAGAGGATCAACTGGGATAACGGTGAGCAGAGAATCTGAACCAGAAATGGAAGAAGAAACTAAACTGCACCAACCCCTTTTGAGCAAAGAAAACGTGAGTCGTTTTGCTTCAGCTTCTGTATTATCTAAGGCCTTTTGGCTTTGGATAAATCCTCTTCTGAGTAAAGGGTACAAATCCCCTCTTACCATGGAGGATGTGCCATATCTTTCACCAGAGCACAGGGCTGAGAAGATGTCAAAACTGTTTGAGTTGAATTGGCCTAAACAGCAGGAAAATTCAAAGCACCCTGTTAGAACAACATTGCTTCGCTGCTTTTGGAAGGAAGTAGCCTTTACTGCTTTCCTTGCGATTGTGCGGCTCTGTGTTATGTATGTTGGTCCTGTTCTAATTCAAAGTTTTGTGGATTACACTGCTGGGAAGAGGAGTTCTCCCTATGAAGGATATTACCTTATAATGATTCTACTCGTTGCAAAGTTCATTGAAGTTTTATGCACTCACCAATTTAACTTCAATTCTCAGAAACTTGGAATGCTTATTCGTGCTACCCTTATCACTAATTTGTACAAGAAGGGGTTGAAGTTAACTTGCTCTGCTCGTCAGGCCCATGGGGTTGGACAGATTGTGAATTACATGGCTGTAGATGCCCAGCAGCTATCTGATATGATGTTGCAGCTACATGCTATGTGGTTGACACCTTTGCAGGTTGGTGTTGGTCTGGTGCTCCTGTATAGGTACCTCGGTGCCTCTGTGATCACCTCAGTGCTGGGACTTTTTGGTTGTCTTATCTTTGTTATAATGGGAACCCGAAGGAACAACAGGTTCCAATTCAATGTGATGAAAAATCGTGACTCAAGAATGAAAGCAACAAATGAGATGCTTAATTATATGCGAGTGATTAAGTTCCAGGCCTGGGAAGAACACTTCAGTAAGAGAATCCTATCTTTCCGTGAAACAGAATTTTCATGGCTGTCCAAGTTCCTGTATTCAATCTCTGGGAATATAATAGTGATGTGGTCCGCACCATTACTGATATCAACCCTCACATTTGGTACTGCAATTCTTCTAGGAGTGCCACTAGATGCAGGGACAGTGTTCACAACCACAACAGTCTTTAAGATCTTGCAGGAGCCCATCAGAGCTTTCCCGCAGTCCATGATCTCACTTTCACAAGCAATGATATCGTTAGGAAGATTGGATAATTACATGATGAGCCGGGAATTGGTGGATGCGTCAGTGGAAAGACAAGAAGGCTGTGATGGTATTGTTGCTGTGGAAGTTAAAGATGGGAAGTTTAGCTGGGAAGATGAGAATGGTGAGGAGGTTTTGAAAAATATAAATTTGGAGATCAGGAAAGGGGAGCTTACTGCTATTGTTGGGACTGTTGGATCTGGGAAGTCTTCTCTCCTGGCTTCAATTCTTGGTGAGATGCACAAGATCTCAGGAAAGGTAATGAACTCTGAGAAGGAACTGACAATACCATGTTCTTAATACATATATGCATTTCATGTTCCAGTCATTAAGGTTCTCATAAATTTGACAAGTTCAGCCAAAAGTCCCATGATTTTCAGTAAATCATATATCAATATTTATGTTATTTTTGGTCTTTCTGTCAGTTTTATGCAGGCAGTTTGCATTTTTTGGTGTAACTAAATAGAGATTTGATTCAAAAAAATTTTCTACTCCTGTTGGTTCTTTCTGGGGCCATATATTGTTGTTTCATAGGCTATCACGTTTATTTTACTGCTGCTACCTACAGGATCTTTTGGCCTGCCTTTTATATTTGAGCAGTTGTGCAATAATGGTCTTCGCTGAAGACTGCCCAACCATGAGATATATCCTTTTCTCTTTCATTCTTCATATTTGTTTTTTTCACTTGTCTTACATATTTAAATGATACATGCAGGTCAGGGTTTGTGGTACAACTGCCTATGTAGCACAAACATCCTGGATTCAAAATGGTACAATTGAAGAGAATATCCTATTTGGCTTGCCAATGAACAGGGAGAAATACAGGGAAGTTATCAGAGTTTGTTGTTTGGAGAAAGACTTGGAAATGATGGAGTTTGGAGATCAGACTGAAATTGGAGAACGGGGCATCAACCTTAGTGGTGGCCAGAAGCAGCGGATACAACTTGCAAGGGCTGTTTATCAAGATTGTGACATCTACCTTCTTGATGATGTCTTTAGCGCTGTTGATGCTCATACTGGTTCAGATATATTTAAGGTGATATGTCTATTTCGGTTCCTTTTGCAAATTTTTATTTCCCATTAAAATCAATGATCTCTCTTTTTCTTTGGTACCTGTTAAATTAAATAGTGTGTCGTCATATCTTATTAGACTAATGAGCTAAACTAGTAGAGAAAACATTACTTAATTGCTCTTAGTATGTGACTTTTAATATGTTGAGCTAACCATAAAAATGAATTTGAAGACAAATCTCATGTTACAGGTGCTACACAAAGAAGATGGCATTGTTTTCTGAGAAACTTCTTTGATGTAGTTAAGTATGAAATGTAGCTAAGCTTATTGTTGTTTGCTTTTTCTGCAGGAATGTGTAAGAGGAGCGCTCAAAGGAAAGACTATTTTGCTTGTAACCCACCAAGTAGATTTCTTGCACAATGTTGATCATATCTTGGTGAGGATTCTCTTAATTCTTTACAGAAAATTATGCAACCATGCATGCATAAATATGAATGTTTATAAGAATGTGTTAATTGCAGGTGATGCGAGATGGGATGATAGTTCAGTCAGGAAAGTACGATAATTTGCTAGATTCTGGCATGGATTTTGGAGCCCTTGTAGCTGCACATGAAACATCCATGGAACTTGTAGAAGTAGGTGCCACCATGCCTGGTGAAAATTCGTCCAAACTAACAAAATCATTTTCAAATATTGGGGAAGCAAATGGTGAAAGTAATTCCCGAGATCAGCCAAAGTCTAATAAGGGGGACTCCAGGCTAATCAAAGATGAGGAGAGGGAAAGTGGAAAAGTCAGCTTAAATGTGTATAAATTATACTGCACAGAGGCTTTTGGCTGGTGGGGTGTGTCTGCAGTGCTGCTACTCTCTCTGATATGGCAAGCCTCTCTGATGTCTGGTGATTATTGGTTGTCATATGAAACTTCAGCACAGCGGGCTACATCATTCAACCCTTCAGTGTTCATTTCTGTCTATGCAATCATTGCTGCTTTCTCCGTTGTATTGCTAGTGTTTAGATCATTTTTTGTTACGCTTATGGGACTGAAGACGGCACAAATATTTTTTGGACAAATTCTTCAAAGCATCTTGCATGCCCCCATGTCCTTCTTTGATACCACACCTTCAGGAAGAATTCTAAGTCGGGTAAGGTTTTCAAATAGCGGATTTGATAGTTTCAGAGAACAGCTTACTTATTGGGATATCAAGACTCCTTTCATTCTTCGATATATTTTTATGCTGAAACTTGGTTGAAAGGAAAAGTTGACAATTATCAATTAATTGTATCAATATGGCATTGTGGAACTGATATATATTTCCTTTTCTCCTGCAGGCATCATCAGATCAGACCGATGTAGATATCTTCATCCCCTTCTTTATTGGGATTACTGTTGCCATGTATATTACTCTGCTCAGCATCTTCATCATGACTTGCCAATATGCTTGGCCAACAGTTTTCTTATTAATTCCATTTGGTTGGCTGAATATCTGGTATCGGGTATGGTCTCCCATTTTACTACTTTTATAACATTCTTTATCATAGTTATTCCAAAAAGCATCCAATCTTTTCAACCATCTCAAAAAATTATAAGGACAGTCGTCAGAACACATGTCCAAGAAAATATGTTAAGCCTTAAAAATCTTGGAAAAGGCTTTAATTGATTCATTTGCCATTTAATGGGAAGCTAACCATGCAGTTATTTTAACTTTAGATTAAAGGCCTATCTGATTTGTTGATATTTTTTCTGTGTTTCTTGGATTTCAGGGATATTATCTTGCATCATCTCGAGAATTAACACGTCTTGAGTCTATTACAAAAGCACCTGTTATCCATCACTTCTCAGAAAGCATCTCTGGGGTTATGACAATCCGCTCCTTCAGAAAGCAGGACGGGTTTTGTCAGGAAAATATTGACCGTGTGAATTCAAATTTGCGTATGAATTTCCACAACAATGGATCGAATGAGTGGTTGGGTTTCCGTTTGGAATTGATTGGGAGTCTCATCCTCTGTCTCTCTACTATGTTCATGATCTTGTTGCCTAGCAGTATAATAAATCCAGGTAATCATTATTTCATAGTTCCTCTACACAACCTCTTAAAGATTTGATATTGCTAAACTCTTGACATGTGATCCGCTGAACACATGTTATATTCTTGTTTTCTAGCTATACAATGGCAAGGTATATATATACATATCGGCATCCAACTTTCATAGAGGAAATCTCAGGATTTTCCATGTCAGCTTGATTTTTGATCACTTGATGATATGAGTGTCTGTCCATAGGCAGTAGATTTTTCACATTCTGCTTGATTTAGTTTGTTTGCCTTTTTTCCTTTTGTTGTTAAGGATACTTATAATAATTATGTCATGCATAGATAGGGTTACTAGTTTAAATAGTGTGAGACACAAGGCCTGAAGTGTCTGGTTAAGATCATAGCTGGTACTAATTAAAAGGCTCTTACATGCAAATTAACAAGGATATTGGCTCGTGCTATTTGCCTAGCATTTTACTTTTCAACAGGCATTCTGAGATATTTTGTCTGAACTTGTTTTGCATAATGCAGCCAATGTCGGTTTATCTCTCTCCTATGGACTATCCCTCAATGCTGTATTGTTTTGGGCCATATACATGAGCTGTTTTGTGGAAAATAAGATGGTTTCCGTGGAAAGGATCAAGCAGTTTTCAAATATCCCGCCAGAAGCTACATGGCACATTAAAGATCGTCTTCCTCCTCCAAGTTGGCCTGCTCATGGCAATGTTGAGATCAAAGACCTGCAGGTAATTGGCTTTAGACTATTCTGGATACAACTTTAAGTAACTTTCATAGTTGTCTCCAAAGGTGCAATCCACAAACAGTCATGGTAGGTCCTCAATAACTAAGGTTAGTGTTAAGTAAATGAAGGCAGATGAACAGCTCAGTTACCACCAGATATTTTGCAACAAGAGCTTAATGATTAGTCTTTCCCAAAAATTTGAACTATACCACTTAGCTGTACTTTTATACCTCAGATTGATTGCAGCTACCCTCAAGCATGTTGCTAATGAACGGTATTGATTTATGTTACCTTGGTTGAACTAGGGCTGATGTCTTGAATTTTGGGATACAGGTTAGATATAGACCAAACACTCCTCTGGTGCTCAAAGGCATAACTCTGAGCATTAATGGGGGTGAGAAGATTGGCATTGTTGGCCGGACAGGGAGTGGGAAGTCAACTTTAATCCAAGTTTTCTTCAGGCTTGTGGAACCAACAGGAGGAAGAATAATTATTGATGACATAGATATCTGCATGCTAGGGCTTCACGATCTTAGGTCACGCTTTGGGATTATTCCTCAAGAACCTGTCCTTTTTGAAGGAACTGTGAGAAGCAACGTTGATCCAATAGGACAATATTCTGATGAAGAAATATGGAAGGTAAAACGTGCCATCATTTTACATTTTTTCCTCCTTCAACTAATCCACATACATTTTCCACAAAAGTTGTTTCGAGCTACTGAAAATTGTTATTTTTGTAGAGCCTTGAGCGCTGCCAACTTAAAGATGTGGTGGCTTCAAAACCCGATAAACTTGATGCTTTAGGTAAGGGACTCAACTTGTCACAATTTCCTAATCCCAGTAGCAAATACGAACCAAAATTATGCTGTGCATAAGAGTGACAAAGAATTACTTGAATTTCAGTGGCAGATAATGGAGACAATTGGAGTGTGGGGCAGAGGCAGCTACTGTGTCTAGGAAGGGTTATGCTGAAGCACAGCAGGCTCTTGTTCATGGATGAAGCAACTGCATCCGTTGATTCACAAACTGATACAGTGATCCAAAGGATCATAAGGGAGGACTTTGCTGCCTGCACAATTATCAGTATTGCTCACAGAATACCCACAGTCATGGACTGTGACAGAGTTCTAGTCGTAGATGCAGGTCTGTAACCTTCCCTCCATTGCCTTTTATTACATAAGCATTCTTCCTAAAGAATAAGTCCTTAGGAGAAACAGTTTATAAGCATCACACTAAAACTATTGAGCAGATTGCTGCATGAATTTTTATGGTTAACTCTAGTTCCTTCTTAATAACAGGAAAGGCAAAAGAGTTCGACACTCCCTCCCGCTTGCTTGAGAGGCGATCGCTTTTTGCTGCATTAGTTCAGGAGTACGCCAACCGTGCTGCTGGACTATAAGCAAGCAGATATTCTGCTTTATTTATATTGCTTTGTTTAATTCCCCTGCCATCGATGTCAGAGAATCTACTCTAGTCTTTTTTACTCAAAATGCCAAAGGCAGCAGTGAACTGTTCATAATTCAGAATATCTCCATCTATTATTGTTATTTGTACCTGAACATTGAAGCAAATGTTATCTACAAAATTTTAGCCTATGTTAATCAAAATGCAGCATTTAATTTTGGAAACTAGTACCCTTTTATTTGTTTCTCTTGATTTAGGTTGATTAATAGGAAAAAATAAAAAGTGTCCGAACAAGCCACTCTGATCCAGTGACATAGACCTGGAGTTAAAGCCGTTCAAGTCTTAAAGGGTAACATTTTCGATCCCATGGATCCCATTTCCCTTTCCCCCACTTAATTAATATATATAACTAATTTCAATTTGGTTAAAAATAAATAAATAAATAAACTAACATGAATTCTGAACTCCCTCGTGTCGCTCAGTGGACGGGTTACGCTACTCCATGAGTAGCAGGTAAAGTTCGTCCGATCCTTGATTCGACTTTAATCCTGAATAGATACTAACTCACTAATCTAGTATTTCCCTTGTCAAAAAAAAAAAAAAAAAAACTAACGATGAATTCTTTGTTTTGTAATTTAAATATATTATATTACAAAACAAGAACAATTGAATGAAGGATGGTTCTTAATACTAATGCTAAGAGGCTCATTCATATTTAATGGTTCCTAAACTAATCTTCTAATAATTTTCTCAAAAAAAGCAATCTTAGGCTTAAAGTTTAAATAACATGATGAAGTAAAAAAATAGAAGAATAATGTAATTTCTACAATTTTGGAAATAACTTATGTACATGAAGTAATGAATTTTTATAAATTAAAAAGTCATTTTCACAAATAAGATATTTTTATTATAGATTAGCCAATAATTTTTACAAATTAGATTGTAATCTACTTAGAGTACTTCTACAAAAGCTAAAGATATGCAACCCAAGTCGGAAGAAACCATTACGTTTACGAAGGTCAAAGTTCAAAAACCCCTCACTTTGTAATGGCCAAAAATAAAATAAAAACTCACTTTGTAAGGTTGGTCAGTGAATATATTTTAAACTACGGGACTAAAGCGTACTATGTACCAAAAATGGGGCTGAATGATTATTCAAAATTGAATACTTAAATTCCCTTACGAACGACACCGTTTAAAACCCTTACTATATGGAAAGGAAAACCCCAGCAAAAACCCTAGCCAGGAAACTCCCGATCGAGCTGAGACACACAGAGAGGGGTTGAGATGGGGAGGTCAAGAAGGAAGTACAAGCAATCGAGGCCGAAGGTGAGAGTAGGTCTCCCAAGGAAGAACCCTCACGTCTTCAAGCCGGCTTTCAACCTCCCTCCCAAGCTCCGGTCGTCTCTCCTGGAGGAGACTCACTCCAAATGGGACGACAAAGCCAGTGTCATCAAGAACTACAAGTCCTTCGGCGTCGTCTCTAACCCTAACTTCCTCGGCGTCCGTTCTCGCACTTCCCACATCATCGAGAGCGACTCTCTGCAAGTCCCTGATCCTCGGCTCTCCGATCAATCCGCCGATGAGTTGGAGCTCATTGATTCCGGAAGTGATCTCGAAGAAGATGGTTAGCTCTCGCCTTTTCTGTCTCTGTGTAGTGTATATATTTCTTGTTTGATGTATATTGTTGCTTGCTTAACTGCGGATTTAGATTGATATTTGGTTTGTATCCTCTCGTTGGTTTGGGGAAAAATCTCCTATTAAATGAAATAACAAACATCATATCAGTTGATCTTTATCATATGAAATTGTTGTTTTTATTGTTTTTGTGCCAATAGCAGATTATTCATATGAATTTTTCTTCTTGATTTCCTATTTACTGTATAGTTGATTACTGTAGTTATTGATGCGAGATCATTTTTGAGTTTTTGATGGAGATTGTCAGTTGGAATTCTTAATGTTTTCCTTTCTCTGAAAGTAAAGTTAATCCTTTTAACAGAAAGGAAACTGAAATTGCATAGCCCATTTGTTTCTTGTATTGATGAACAATTGATAATATGCTGTTACTTTGCTATTTGCATCTACAGACTTGAAAACAGCACTTGGAAAGAAGTGAAGAGATGGAAAAACCACGAGATTTAAACCATTGACTGCCATGCAACGAGTTCATGTTGGCCGACTGATAGAGAAGTATGGAGACGATTACCAGGTTAGACATGATTTTCATATGCCAGGAATTCTGATAAATGTTCTGGGTGATAGGATATTACCAGTATCATCCCTTACTAACGTACTTGTTTCGCAGGCAATGTTCATGGATACAAAACTAAACCAGATGCAGCATTCAGTTGCAACACTGGAGGACTTGTGCAAGAGATACCACATGTTTGGCGATAAAAATCCGTTGATAGTGTCTGGTTGAGATTGGTCCATTTCCTTATTGTCAGATCTTTTGAGCTTGTAACAGTATCGCGTGATACCCATGAAAGTTATATAACTTATACGGATGAGCTAGTGATCTTATTAGTGCAACTGAAATTCCTGAAATCCCCTTTGGTTTGTTACACTCTTCTTTCAAACTTTCATACTTACTCTCCTCTTTATGTTAGTTGAAGACTTGAAGGAAATTAAGTGATTTAAGTGTTGAGAATGTATCCTATGAGTAAAAATGCATTTGTCATAATAAAGGCAAAGATTAATTTCAAACTCCAATAGAGTTTCCTTATTGTGCATTCTATGAAGCGGGTCCCAACTTCCAACTATGAGTATTGAGTTGAAATTACATGGATAATGTAGAAAATCATGAGAAGATGAAGGCCAACATGGTTAGGTTACTCTTTCTTCTTCCTGGGGTGTGCTGACTAGGTCTTGTTTTCTAACTGTGTTTGTAATGAGGCTTTTAAAGTTATAATGGAGATAAATTAGAAAAAGAATTAGATTGCAGTGAATGCCAACATCTTACATCTTGTTAGAATCCCTAATACTTCTCCTTGTTAGAATCCCTAAAATTCCTCCTCTAATTGATATGTAAATAGCTGTATCAGATTATTTTTCTTTATTACTCTTGATTTTATTTCCATTGTAATTAGAAAAACTATCCATATTTAGAATAGGTCAACCCCTATATACTGTACTGTTTTTCATCATCAAATGAAGAAATATTTTACCCTAAATTCTTCATGGGATCAGAGCCAACCTTAGGCTGTTAGAATTCTTGGCCTTCATTGCCGCTTTATCTTGGTTCTGCTTTCATTGCAACCAACTTGCTACTCTATTTCTTGAGTTCTCTTTGAAACTAGGATTGGCCTTCAATGCCAAAGCTAGCTTCACTTCAAAATGTCAAACGATTCAACCAATATCCAGAGACCCAAAGAAGTATCCCCCCAGGAGATGGTGACTCAAAATGAAGAAAAGTTTAAGGAGTTCAATCAAGAGGAGATTGAGAGGCTATGAAGTCTTCTTGATTCACTTAACAAAACTTTAGGCTCTTGTTCTCTCGCTCAAGCTGGTATGTGTCTCTTAACAAAATCTCCTAAAGTTTCTAGTACTGTTTCATGGATTATTGATTCAGGTGCAACTGACCACATGACCTACAACCCTATTGCCTTTGATTCTTATAAACCTATTCTAGGAAACTAGAAAATTATAGTAGCAGATGGATCCCCTATCACCATTGCTAGCCAAGGAAGTATTTGCTTATCACCCTCAATTTCTTTGAGGAATGTTTTGCACATTCCAAAACTATCCACTAATCTCATTTCCATCCACAAAATTACCAAAGATCTCAATTGCAAAATAATCTTTTTTGATTCTCATTGTATTTTTCAAGATCTGGCTTCGAGAAGGATGATTGGATTTGCTAAAGAACGAGATGGGTTGTACCATCTTGAAGAGTTGCGAAGTTGTGGAATGAAGGAGAACCAACTTCTTTTAACCCATTCAATTCCATTAAATAAAACTGAGGTATGGACTTACCATCTCCGCCTTGGTCACCCTCCTTTCCAAATGTTAAAGGGCATGTTTCCTACCTTATTTAAGGATGTTTCTGTTCAAGACTTCCATTGTGACATTTGTCAATTTGCAAAACATCGACGTGTCTCTTTTCCTCCAAGTTTTATAAAATGCAATAAACCTTTTTATTTAATTCACACTGATATTTGGGGACCTTAAAAAATTCCTAATGTCAATGGGGCAAGGTGGTTTGTGTCTTTTATAGGTGATTGTACTCGTACAACATGGCTTTTTCTCATGAAAGAGAAATCTGATGTTAGTACTCTATTTCCCAAATTTCATAAAATGATTTCCACCCAATTTGGAGAAAAAATAAGAAGAGCTCATTCTGATAATGCTAAAGATTATTTCAATAGAACTCTCTCCTCATTCTTTGAGACAGAGGAAATTATTTATGAGTCATCCTGTGTTGAGACACCCCAACAAAATGGGGTTGTTGAATAGAAAAATAAGCATATCTTAGAAGTTACTTGGGCAATTTTATTTCAATCCAATGTTCCTAAAAATTTTTGGGGTGAGGCAATCTTGACTATTGCTCATTTAATTAATCGACTCCATTCTAGAGTCTTGGGAAACAAAAGTCCCATCCATGCATTATTTGATTTCTTTCCAGAATCTGTTTCAATTAGAAGTCTTCCTCCAAAAATCTTTGGGTGTGTTGCTTATCTTCATATTCATAAGACACACAGATCCAAATTGGATCCTAGAACTCAAAAGTGTATTTTTATTGGTTATTCTCCCACACAAAAAGGGTACAAGTGGTATGACCCCTCCAGTAGGAGAATTCTTATCTCTCTAGATGTCACATTTAATGAAGTTGAGTCATTCTTGAAATCTTCCCGATCTCATCCTCAAGGGGAGAGTGTTTTGGGTGAAGATGAACATTCTGGTTCCATTTCCTTTCTAGAAGAACTGGGTGGTCTTAAATCAGCTAAGCCAAGTTCCCTAAATTCCCCAAGTAACCCAATTGAACTTAAATCAACCATGCCTAACCTCCAACTACAGCCTTCCTCACAACTTGCCAATCCTATAATTGTGCCTAATCCTAGAGTCACTCCAAAATCACAAGAACAAAATTTGGTTCAACCTCCATCAAAACAACTGAAGCCATATTCCA